GAAGTGGGCCCCCCAGTTAGATGTGATATGGGCAGCATCTCTTATTTATTATAGTGCCAGCCCTGTGAAACGAAACAAGTAAGTAGCTGGTGAAAACAGCTCTGCCAAAATAGAGGACTAGTTCTGATTAGGCTGGGCATGATATAATACGGTGGTTTAAAGCAGTGTAATGCCATTTTCCATTAGAGCTCTTGTTTGAGTCAGGAAGGGGTTTGATCCATTGATGGAAGCTGTTATAAACAGATGAGAAAACCTCATCCATATTTCTCTTGAGATTGTACGAAGCTGACAGTATGCTAGCTGACCACAGCCATCTGGGACTCTCCCACACAAAATAACCCTCTTTTCATAAATAACAGGATTGTTGTTGTGGTGGTGGACTGAGATTTGCTGTAGAATTCAGTTTTGTAGAACAAAGAGCTGCTTCTGGTTTTTAATTTTAGTTATTAAAAAGATTCATCTTTCTCTTTGTATCCCATTTTCCTTCCCCTCTTTTCCCCTTCCCTTTTTTTTTTTTCTTCCCCCGTGTCTGTCTTTAGGATAAAGCTGTTTGCCTGACACCAGAGACTTCTGTGAGTCTAGTGAGTGGTGCCTCTGGATTGAATGGTCACGATTTCAAATCCTGCTTAGGACTAAACTTGGACGAATTCCATAAGCTAATAACCCGGCGCAGTGTTTCAAATTGATGGAGGTGCTGTCCTCTAGATGAGACATAAAAACAGAGATCCAATCTGCTTGGCAGAGACCCCACAGGACTTATCAAAGATGAGTGGGGGCTGCTAACTGTTTTGCCCTTGTCAAATCCTTACCATCACCACGGCTTCTCTTCCTGTTCCAAAGCAATGACACTGGACCTTATGAAAATGAGATGGTGAACTTGAAGGAGCCATCCTTTTTCTAATTATTTAAAGCAGTTTGCAGTGTCTGGCAAGAGGGGGAAAGAGAGATAATCCACTCACTTGAAAGTGGAATGACCCTGAATTTCAAAAAGCAAAACAAAAGCGAGTGAATGGTGCCACCATGCTCTGCAGCAGCAACATTATTAAATGATCAGTGAGCTATTAAAGCAGCAACATTTAGTACCTCCCCTAATGACTTGTACTGCTAACTGGTTTCCAAATTGAGATTTTTATTGCCTCCATGCACAGACAGAACAAGGCTGTGTGTGTGCTTCTAGAGGCTCCAGATTAGGCAGACTGTTCGCAACAGGATCGATGAATCTTCTCTGCTGAAAACTAGTAATGGCTTATGAGATTCCCCACTCTTCTGTCCTCTTTTCTTACCAGGGCTGGAAGCTTTGGGGTGTGAGGCATGGCAGGGATCATAAATATGGGGGATTTTGCAGAGAGTCCGGCATGATTCTTGAACTTCCTAACATCTGTGAAATTTGGCAGAGTTGTGCATAAACAGACTGTCCTGAAATCTCCCCAAAACCACCGATGCCATTCAATGAGTGAACGCTGTGAGAACGGCATTTCCAGGAGGGGCTTTGGGCATGTTGGTTTCCACTTCCAGGTAGACATATGGAGCATGGAGGAACGAGCCTATGGAGGAGGAAGGGAGAGGAAAGGGAATTGCAGACGCTAGTGAAGGTGAACATTTGCCGGGATGCTTCCATCGTGATTCTCCCAAATGGATTTCTACTGTCTCATGTGAGCTGAGCTCCCGTGATGCGAATAGCTGGGAAATGGCCTTCTATCAAGTGCAGCTCAAGCTAGGTAGGGAGTTCCTGTGGGCAAATGCACAGCATGTGTGACTGCAGAAAGGGAGCTGGTTAAAAACCAAACCAACCACCCAGCAAAAGTGGGGGCTGGTTGTAGTTGCAGTTATTTATGTGCTCGTGATATACGGTAGGCCAAAGTGGAGTCTGGGTCTTCCGTGCACCTGAAATAAATGCAAATGTTATTGTTTTGATTTGTTTTTCTCCATTAGTTCTGCATACGTGTGCCGCCTGCACTTGCTGAGCGAGTCAGGCCACTTCTCGCCTGGGCTAGGCAGTCACCGGGAGAGACTGTTACTGCTGTTTCTGTTTTTATGTAGCAGGTGCCTGATTTCCATGACAGAAACTGCTCATCCTTTGCAGAGGCGGCAGGCAGAGCAGTGGGGGTAGGACGGCCTGAGAGACTGTATTAGAACATGCACATTTTTTATCCCATGCTGGTTCAAGTCTCTCTCCAGAAGTGCTGACTGCAAGTTGTTCCCATTTTGTGACTTTTCAGTGGCTGCACGTGGTGCAGGTTTGCATTTCCAGTTTCTTCACAGTGTCTGTCTACACAGTGTGTCCGTGGTCTGCAAAATGCCTTTGCCTTTCCTGGTAATCTTAGGAAACAGGAGGTCTGTGTGGGCTGCATGTTGAGATTTTCTACATGTTAAGAACTGTAGAAAATTGGGGTGAAGGGCACTTCTATACTTCCTTTTCCGAACTTCATGCAGGACGAGTTAGACCTAAACCATTCTTGCCTGCTGTGGGTTTAACCTGTTCTTGAAGACCTCTAGTCTGGAGATTTCCAGATGTGCTAAGGCAGGTTATTCCAGTGGTTAACTGTCCTTACCTTTACACAGCTGTTCCTAAGACCTAAGTTCAGCAGTAGAACTGGATTCTCCCAGGTCAGGGTTAAGGCAGAGTTGCAAGGGACCACAGAGGAGCTCGTGTAGCCACTTCCTTTGCTGCACCCACTCTCATCCAAGGGCTTCCTCCCGCAGGACAGCAGGTCAGGTGTTTCCCACTGAGCACACACAAGCAAAGTAGAGACACAAAGAAAAGGGCAGCAGGGCCATTTCTGGCAGAGGAGCCTTCTGAGATTGGCACTGATAAAATGTCCTAGAGACTTTATTGAGTCCAATTACCACTTTATGTCTTTAAAGTGCTGAGTAAATGAAAGAAACTACAAGATCAAGCCATGTTAGTCTTCTCAATCTCTTAAATGTTTGACAACCCTCTCCCCTTCTTTCTCGTTTTCTCAGACTACTTTGAACTCTTAACCTTTCCCGCTGCTTTGAGTTCACATCTGCAGAAACCAAACTACCCCCGGCCATCCCCAAATTCCAGTAACAATCACAAAACCCTTTCAAAGCAACGCTGCCCTCCCTTAACTGATAAACTTTAAGCTGTCTCCAACTTTCTGAACTTTCATGCACGTACGGTTAGTCTCATCCATCAGTGCTGGCAGGCTGCAGGGGAGCTTCCTGGGTACGGCAGCGGCCATAAAACCATCAGACGGGTTT